GTTGTACCCAGTGTTGCGACCTGCAGCCTATGTTGAGCCCCGAGACATGGCCGATGCTGCGACTGCCATTGGCCGTTGCTGTGGACCAACCACGTGACCCGTGCCGAGACCGGCCGTGACGAGCGATGAGACGAGCGACCTGCTGCCAGCTTTGTGACCGCTCTCCCGTCCGGTCCTTCGCCCTCGACGACAGCACCGTTTACGCTCCCAGGGCCGCACGCCCTCCGCCGGACAATGGTCAGGCGCAGGTCAGAGGTCACGGGCCGGGTCAGAGGTCACGCGTCGGGTCAGGGGACGTTCGGCTCCCATGCCGGCGCGGCCGTTACTGTCGCCGCGCGCTGCGCCTGCCGGTGGCGACGCTTGTGGCGCGTTTGGCGCGGCGGCGGTGTGTGGCGGCTGCGGCGCGCCGGCTCCGCGCCGGCTCCGCCGGCCGCGCGACTCTAGAGCAAACAGGCTGCTGTTTGTGCTCGGACCTGGCCGGTGGGGCGACGCGCGGACTTATTTTGATAGGCTTCACCTGCCACTCCGTCCGGCGGCCCCGCTGCCGCCGGCCGGACCTCACGGCCAGCGCTGGCGCTCGGCCGAACGGCTGGCGAGTGTCGCCGCTCTCGAACGTTGGTTTGGCGCCTCATCTTGCCGAGCGGGTGAGGGGATGGATACGCCGTTAAGAATATTCGTAACAGGCGGTGATTGTGCGGAGCGGTTTGCAAGATGTCTTGTCGTGTTAACACGGCGTACGAGGTTTGTGTGCTTGGTCACTGTCTGAGACGCAGCGGATTGATGCGGGAGTCGTTTTCCTTCTTTACACGATGTCTGTCTGACAATACCAAAAGATCCTGGCTGGCCGCTCGGGCTCTACCCTGGTTCGAGATGATCTCACGTTGCCCTGCCTCCCTAGTCTTGTGCCTGGGTCCGCCACTGCTGACGGCCGGACGGCGACTCCCTTGACCGGCCTCCTAGCACCGCCTCTGTCGCCGCCCGCCACCGTCCCGACATCCGACGCCTCACATGTGAATAGTGTGCGTCCCCGGCACCCGAAGCCGGCCTTGGCGTATTTGTTGTGATTGTTTGGCGCAGAGCCCGAGGTAGCTCGAGTGGGTGCCCGTTTCCGGATGGCACTGCCTGTGGGCGGCGCGCCCAGGTCGGTCACCGGGGGGCGCCACGGAAGCGAGCTCAAGGCGGCTTTGGGAGGATTGAAGGTCTGGATTCATCCCGGATGCTGTTGGTTGGTGTGTGGACGTCGATATGCTCTGAGATCGAATTCAAGTTTGGTGTGTGTAATCGGAATGCGTGGTCACTTTTCTGCGTTGCGTGTTTTTTATGGCGAAAAGATGTTTTTAAGCCTTTTAAGTTACACGATAGGCTTATGGTACGCTGTCATGTATCCTGTTATTTTATGTTGATAATTTTGTCTTCTGAGACGCAAAATTTACCTGCATGCGTACTCCATATCCCCTGAGCACCTCTCGTGTTGTCCTGATGCTGTACGCTCCAATGTGGTCAGCTGGTACGTCTATGTGCCGGTTCCAGTGTCCTGCTCAGGTTCAGCTCGCTCTGTTCCGACCCCGGTGCCCCCGGTGGCTGCGCTCCCATCTGGTGCGCCTGTTGCGCCCGCGCCGGCGGTGGCTGGCCCCTCCTCGGCTCGATCGCAGGCCAGGTGCGGCGCCTGCGCCCTCCGGCGATGCCCGGCGCCCCCGGGGCCGCCGGTCCAGCCGCCGGCGCCGGTATTTACGTCTGGTGCTGGCAGCATCGTGCACTGAATCAAGGCCCGGCTGATTTACGGTACCGGGCCGCGTGCTTAGATTTACAGCGCCGACACTTGAAAGGTGATTTTTCAACAGCTCAGCGGCTCTCGGCCAGCGTTAGAGGCGTCCGATCTCCCTTGGTCCACACCGCTTCCCTTATACCAGCGTGGGCCAACAGTCTGCCGTATTTACACCCTGACCTGCTCCAGTCCACCTCAGACTTCCCAGCCGTCGGCTTCGTCCCACCTCGGCCTGCTCCGGCGCGGTCCCGGTCTGTCCGTCCCGTGACCACCCCGCCTGCCCAAGCACGCCCTCAGGGCCCTCGTGCGCCCGAGGCCCGGCGCGCTGCCGGCGCCACGGACGTGCCGGGCCATGTATGTATGATCCATGGCCGGCATCCATTGTACTGACCGTCGGCCTGCTGCCACCCGCCAATGCCGGAAAACAATGATATCTGGCCGGGAGCCAAGTCGCCGCGGCCACTGCCGCCGCCGCCGCCGCCGCCGCCGCCGTCGGCAGGCTGTCTCGCGTCTCGCCGAGGTGTGCCGATTTCCATACGCCACCGCTGCGAAACACCGGCAATTTCGCCGTCGGCGGCGGCGGCAGGACACTTCCGCCGCCTTTGTGACGTCAGGGGCGGCAGCGGGCGCGGCGGTCGGCCGGGGACGCGGCCGCTAATGTCGGATTGTCCGTCCGGCCAGCCGCCGCGTTGGCCCACGCCGAAAGTGATAATGGATATAAGTGGTGAATTGTGGTGACCTTGAGGTGACCCGTAATGCCGGTCGGGTGACCCGACGCCGCGCTCCGATCACCTGGAAATCGGTCGATCCCGTGGTCTAATGGAGGCCGGGCAGACCTCGCCACCGGCTGGTGGGGAGCGACTCCAGGACCTTCTCACAGCCGGGCGGCATCGGCGATGTACCACCACCACTGCAGCCGACACGGGCTCAGGGGAATGCAGTGCAGCTCATCATGGTCTCGCGTGTGACGCGAGCACTGCAGCGGTATGTCTCGACGCCCCGCTGACATGACGCCGGGCCCCTGGTCAGAGCGCACCTTGACGTCCCATGCCATGGCCAAGGCACTTCCCACCCTCCTGGTGCTCCGTGTCAGAGTCGGGCCACCTCCTCACATGCCGTGACGCGGTCAGACTGACACGCTGTGACGTCACGTCACATGGCCACGCCGGTCGCGTACCGGGCACCGGCCGGAACCGAGGCCCGTACTGGCCGGACCCGCTGAATGGCATAGCCGGCGCCATTGTGTAACGGCCCCATCACAATCGGATTGTTTAGCCGGGCCGAGTTTTTCCATAACAAGCTCTTCACACATGGCCGGCGGTCGATCGCCGCTCGCCGACACGGTCGTCTCTTCCGCCGCCGGACCGGCGGCCGCTCTCTCGGCCGCGTTTTTACCGACGTGCTGGACCGCCGGGCTAGCGACGAGCGGTGCGGCCTTGCCGGCCCGTCCGTTGTTGACGGGTGCGCGGTCCATTGTTGAGGGGCACTCGGTCCGTTTGTGGTGGAGTCCGGTCCGTTCGTGGCGGAGTCCGGTCCGTTGCTGACGGGTGCTCGGTTCATCCATGGCGTTGTCTGGTCCGTTTGTGGCGGAATCCGGTCCGTTCGTGGCGGAGTCCGGTCCGTTGCTGATGGGTGCTCGGTCCGTTCGTGGCGTTGTCTGGTCCGTTCGTGGTGGATCCTGCCCGTTTGTGGCGGAGTCCGGTCCGTTCGTGGTGGAGGTCGGTCCGCCATTGCTGTACGTGCGTGGATAAGCCAGGCAGCTTGTCATTTTGTTGTTTGTCCAGAGCGCCTGGTCTTTCCGCGCTGCATTCCCCACCCGTCCGCGACTAGTGCCGCCCCCCCCCCCCTCCCCTCACCTCTCGCACTGACCACTTGAGCTGTCAGAGCAAGGAGGTTAGGGACGCACCCGCAGTGACCCGGGCGAAGCAGAATCTATACTGTCGACGTCACTCATGACATCATGCCCCGTAGATTCCGCCCGTTTGGTGTTCGCAGCGACCCGGACGACAACGAGTCTACGTGGCGTCACGTAGAACCTTTGCCGTGTACGCAGAATCATTTTCTACCACTCGATCGGAGTAAGACAGAAATGACTTAAAACAAATTCAATTAAAGATATGTAAATTTCATGCTCAGGGCCGACCACGAGTGAGCAAATGTGTTTTATACGTTACAAATATCACAATTTGTAGTTTCTATTCGTAGAAGCGCTGGGAGTTTCTGGGAATGAAAATAATGTGTACCCGCATGCGCAATTATTTTACTCCGACAGTCACGAAGATGTATACACAAACCGAGTCGCGCTGCAAACACGCCCGGCAAATAATTTACGTGATGTCACGTAGAAGAGAACTTTCTTGGTGTACTGCAAATACGCTTAAGGAGGCGCACCATGCGCGCTGAGGAGGTCGGCCCGCGCCGCCATTCGGCCGCTTTCACGCACCGCCGTCCGGTCGTCGCCGGCGGCGGACCTCGTGACCCTGCCGGCCGACGGGTGCCGAGCTGACCCGGCCTGAGCGTGGCGGCGGGCGCGGCGGCGGCGGCGGCGCCGGGCCACGGGCGGGGTCGGGACCCGGCCGCCGCCGCCGGCCGCCGTGCAGCGGCACCGCATCCGGCGCGCGGCTTTCCTCGGCGCTAATTTCAGGCCAGAACGGCCGGTTGCCGGCCGGCCGGCCGGCCCGTCCGGTCGACGACGGCCTCGCCACTCCGCTGACGCATTTCGGGGACGGTGAAACTGGAGCTCTGGGGGGCTGGGCTGTGGACGCCGAGTAAGCCGGTGTAGCCGGGTCGCCGTGGTCGGTTGGGGTCGCGTAGCGCTACACATCTGCAATCTCTTAAAAAGCACGGAGACAGTGTGGTGTCAGCTTGCCTTAGCACGTGTCTGCAGTGTGTATCCCGTGGCGGTACCCCTGCCGTGGCGGTTGACCTCCGTCAATTCCCAACCCCGCGTGGACCGAGTGCCCCTCCCCCTCCTCCCCCTCCCCCGTCGGATGACTCACGTCGCGCCGCGGCATGCTGGCGAGACCCGTGTTTAGTAAACACCGGGTTTGTTTCGGATTATTTAGCTTCACAGCCGTGACGCGCATGACCAGGCGTCGCAGTCTCAGCGCCGCCGCCGAGCGTGTACGGGTCGACCTGCGGGCGGCGCGGCGCCGCTCCCAGCGGGCGGCCGGCGTCACCACCACGACCCTGGCGCGTGTGACCCTATCTGACGGCCGCTCCGTGCTCTTCGCAGGGATGCTGCTGCTGCACCGGGAGATCTGCTGCCAGGGCAGCGCGGGTGAGTAGCCGAGCGTCCCGCCGCCTCCGCCGCCGCCGCCGATGCGCCGACGCGCCGATGTCGTAAGCGCTTCTGAGAACGTGCTGAGAAAAGGGTCCGACGAACTGGAGGCGTGCCAACTCGCATGACGGATTCGCTAGATCCTATCAAATGGTCGCAGCGACGGCTTGAGGCGAGCGCTGGGCGAACCTTTGATGACACGATAACGGTAATATTGCAATAGCTTTATAACATTATAACTGATACATGGACGACGTTAAGCTGACCCGGAAACATACTACCCTGGTGGACGACATGACCTCAGAAAGAGCCTTCCCACCGGCGTGTTTGGCGATGGATCCAAACAGGGCCTCCCCCGCAGTTTCCCGGTCGGCCGTCGGCCACCCCTGGCTGCCGCCGCGGGACGTTGGTGGAGCGGCCTTTGAAGTCGACACGGCCGTGCCGCGTCCCGACCGGCGCCGCGGGCCACGCGGTCGGCTAAAAAGGCGTCCGAGGGCCGGTCGACGGCGATTGGCCGCCCTTACACCTCTGTTGACCTTCGTGACGGCCGTGACAAAGCGGGGCCCGCCCGAGCCGCAGCCGCGCCAAGCCAATGGCGGACGAACAATGCGTCGAACCGGCGTCGTCGGCCGCCGCCGCCGCCGCCGCCGCTGCTGCCGTGTTGCTGGTTCGGCTGACGCTGGACCGCTGACGCTCGACACTCCGCCACTGACGCCCGACACTCCGCCGCTGACGTCTGGCACTTCGCCACTGACGCCCGACACTCCGCCGCTGACGCCCGGCACTCCGCCGCTGACGCCCGGCACTCCGCCGCTGACGCCCAACACTCCGCTGCTGACGCCCGACAGTCCGCCGCTGACGCCCAACACTCCGCTGCTGACGCCCAACACTCCGCCGCTGCCGCCGCTGCTGCCGTGTTGCTGGTTCGGCTGACGCTGGACCGCTGACGCCCGACACTTCGCCACTGACGCCCGACACTCCGCCGCTGACGCCCGGCACTCCGCCACTGACGCCCGGCACTTCGCCGCTGACGCCCGACACTCCGCCGCTGGCATCCGACACTTGACCAGTGACGTCCTACACTTCGAATGGCACACTGTAGTACATCACAAACGAACGGCAGTCGTATACTTAACCACAATGATTGACCACGACTGTCCGACGGGCGCACATCGACGCCTGATGACGATATCCGACGTCAGCGACGTCCGACTGCTGGCCGATGAGAGGCGACTTCGGTTGCTAGTGCGCGACTCAGTGAAAATGAGGTTCAAATACTTCCAATGAAATGTTACGACGTGGCCCAAAAGAGAACCGCAAATCCTGACAGAGTAAGTCCGGAGAGGAATGTAAACCAGCCAACGATTCGCGATTCAACGCATCGTAAAACTCGACGCTTTCATTAGCTATGCAAATGGCTTCGAAAGTGAGGTAAGCTGCGTGTTTGGAAGCCAGAGGTACGGGTTCGATTCCCCGCAGTGCCCGCCCTCCCTGCCAGAATGAGAAGCAGGCTGCGCCATGAAGCCTTAGCAGCTGATTGCGCCATCAAGTCTTAATGACACGGATCGGCATACAAACTAGGAATGCTCCCCATTTGCCTGTTTGCATCAGTGGCAAATCATTTGGATAATGCGATGAGCGAATCACCAACACGCTTGCTGAATATAGCTCATGATCAACCCATGAACTTACCAGACATATATCACGGCTGGCACACGCCTCACGAGACGTTCGTGACTGAGGGGTGCGGGCAGACGGCCGGTCGCCGCCGCGTGTTGTGGCCGGCGCCGGTCAGTTTTTGCTCCGGCTGACCCTGGCCGAAGGTCATGACCCCGCCGAGTGCCCTTGAGCCCGCCGTCAGCTGGCTCAGAGGCAACACAACAACAGCGGTGCGATGCTCTTCTCTGGGGATCATCGCTTGACCCACACCGATCAACTGGATCGACTGTGCGAATGGGGTTTTGTTTCGTTCCGATTTCCATGCAGACTTTCTCATAGCTAAACTTTCCTGTGGAGTCCAAACTTTCAATTCATGAATTGATAAGAATGAATTGAAGATGGGCAAGCGTGCTCGTATCTGCTTGTTTGCCTTCGTGGTGATAAATTTCGGGGATCCATGATCAGGCTTCAAAGCCTGGGAAGTTATGTTCAATTACCGGAGGGCGAATGGAAACATTCCGGAATCTCAAAGACCAGCAGTATTTCATTTTTGTGATTATAAACAAATAAGCGGGACTAACAAGAAACAAAGTCTTTCGTGGCGGTCACAACGTAGGTTTACGGTCAAATAAACTTATTAATTGGCAGAGCGGCGACCAGTCGAGACTGAAATGAACTCGACGGGGCTCCGTGTTTCGTGACCCTAGCCTAATTGGAGGCCGTGGTCTGATTTAGAGTCGTCGGACTGGGGCCGATATCAAATGGCCGATAAATATGTAGCGGCTGGCCATGCAACGCGCACGCGACGCAGGTGTCGGCCAAGGTCTAGACTGGGGCCACCCACAGCGTAGACATGATGACGGGGGGGGGGGGCAGTGGACGGCGGAGAGATGCCGAGAGGGAGATGGTGCGCGCTGCCGCTGCTGCTGTCAGCGTCCTGTGTGCTCTCGGTCTTGCGCGTCCTGCGTGTGGGCTGTCTCCATCCTCAGCGAAGGCCACCCGATGGTGTGTGGCCCGTCAGCCAGGAGACGCTCAGCCCTCTCGACCGTTCTGCTGTCTGGTGCCTTCCCATGTCAACTCAGGTGTGGGACGGATCAGATACTTCTCCTGCTCCGCTCAAATCCCGACCTGTTATCTCACCCACACGTCACTCCGACCCTCCCACTAAGCGGCTACGTTTTTTGTGCGCTGGCTAGTAGATGAGACAAGCCACAGCAGCGCTGCTCATGGCTTTCGGCGGCCACAACAGCGCTGACAGTTTAAAAGCGAACAGACCACGCGGCCCGAAGCGGACACCTGAGCGCCCGTCTCAACGTATGCGTATCAGCCGGACAGCGAGCCGCCGCTGCCAGTCCGTCATATGATCCCGGCCCTGTGTGTCCTGGCTCGCTGCCGCCTGTGCCCGCGCTCCATGACACCTCGCGTGCTCCCGGCCCTCGCCCTGGCGCCGCCCCCGTTCCGTCCCCTGCCTCCCCGGGCCGCCGAGCCAGGCGGTAGCAAGGCAACGCGCCCGGCACCGGCCTTCGATACGCGGTCGCCCTGACCAGGCAAACAGTCGTAAATTCAGCACTCCAACTCCGCGCCGCCAGCCAGCAGCACGCTGTCTTATCAATATCAGGATTTATGGGGATTTGGCGCAGACGGCGCGGCCAGCGCACGGTCGGAAGGTCCGGCGCGCGGCGCCCCGACGCGTCGGCCGGGCCCCCTCCCCTCCCACTGACACTGACCCCCGCCGACACCTGCACCCGGCGGCGGGGTGCACACAGGCGGCGGAGACGGCGCGTAGGCAAATCGTGAAGCGTTGCGTGCAGAGATTGATCACGGCAGTGCGTTCCTTTGCGAGACGGGCCGCCCACAACGGGCGTCTGTTGCAAAACTTTCCGGCCCGCTCCGCAGTGTCGGCGGCGCTCCTCAGGTGGTGCCGGTGGTTACGTGGGCCAGCCTGTCGCGGCGCCTCAGGTTCCACCGCCGCCTGCAAAGCCCACAAAACAGAACTATTACCGCCGCACAATGTCGTCTTTGTTCCACTGTGCGCGGCGAATCCGTCTCAGATTATCATCGGGGAACCATTTGCAATACTGCTTCATTAGAGGACAATCGCAGCGACGTTGCGGGGCTGTCATTACCGGTCGGTTCGCGTTGCTGCCGTTTGTCTTCTCGGCCGGATATTTGTGTGGCTGCGTGTGGCTGTGGCGTGGGGCCGCGTGCTCTAATGACCTGACCTCGGAAGAGATGCTGCGGTCCCGGCCTCACGCACGCGACCCCCCACCCCACCTCCCCTCCCCTCCCCGCCCCCGCCGAGCTGTTGATTCGGGGACGCACCCCGGTCCACGCGGCTTCGACAAGGTCAAATTTACAGACGATCTGCGCTGTTATCAGATTTATCACTTAACGTACTTTGTTGTCAGGGAGTGCGCACTGTTTCCCGTGTTATGAGGCTACCGCAGTGTAGCTATGTGCGAGATGCTGCCCTCCAAATCTTCCAGAACATTGATGAAGGTCCCAACAGTATCAGACAATACCAGACGACGGCCCATCTCCCCCGGCTAAGCGCATTCGGCGCCGATCGAACAAGTTGTAATGCGCGCGGCAACACGTCTTCTGCGCTATCACAGCGCGCTCCGACGCCGTGTACGACACGGCCGTTACGACGCCGGCGTGTCGTTTGGCGCCGCCCGGCCGCGGGTATCACCGCTGCTCATCAGCGTGGTCACGGCTAATCTAGCCGGCTCTCCGACGGTCGTTTATCACCCATCATTGGCCGGCTTTGAGGACTCCCCTCCCTCCCCGCCGGCGCGGCCGGCGCGGCGGTGCGGCGGCGCGGCGGTCAGTCAGGACGGGCGCGCGCGATTGCCCGCGGCCAGGCGACCCAGCCATACCTGCTGTACGCGCCGCTGTCCGGCCGGCGGTCGCGGCCGGTCACGGTTTGATGGTAATGATGCGGCCGGCCGGGGCGGGCACACTCGGTCCGACGGGCGGTGACCCAGGCGACGCGACAGGGGCGCGCACATCGTTAGTCACCGCTCGGGTCATGTCGGGTCAACAATGGGTGGGGGCGCGGATAACAAGCCTGTTTGGGCATGTTCTGCCACCGGCCGGAGCGGGAGACGCTCAGCGCACGCCGGCTGGACAAAGCGGATGGGACCACGTCCGATTTGTAAGCGATCCGGCCGCGCTGGGTGGGAATTTTCCCCCGACGCGTCTGCAGCAGGCGTTGGATGAAAAGACACGGTGTAAATGGCGGAATGTGCCCCTAGGAAGGAATGCACCCACCCCAAGAAGCAGCTGAACTTCTGCCCGACTGCGCTCATCCCGCGTCCTCTCAGAGCACGCTGGGAGCA